GGGATTCTATGAGTCTATGAAAAATGTGCAACTTTAATTTTAATGAGTGTGCTACCAGCCAGAAAGATCCTTAGTTTTGGTGTTTGATCTATATGTTTGATACAGCAGAATAGAGTGGATGTCCAAAGAGACTTGGTGGTTCAGCTGCATAGAAAAATGTCACAAACAGGTACAGAAAATAATCAAGAAAGTTAATTGAATCCTAGCCTTTATATCTTGAAAGCTGGAGTTAAGGATGCAGGAGTAATGTTGCAGTTATACAAAATTCTCATTAAACCCAACTTGAAGCACTGTGAGCAGATATAGACTCCACACCTTAGGAAGGATATTTTGCCTTGGACGGAGTGCAATAAAGGTTTACAAGGATGATTCATGGACTTCGTGTGCCAAGTTGTGAGGTGATATTGTACAAATGAGGCCTATATCCCACTGATTGGGGATTCTAGAAAAAGGGGACATAGTCTGACAATTAGGGCCAGACCATTCAAGAGAGATGTAGGAAGCACTTCTACACACAATGGATGGTCGACTCTTAGAGCTCTCTTCTACAAATCGCAATGGATGCTGGATCTGAAATGGATACATTTTTATTAAAAGTATTAAGAGATATGGGGCAAAGGTAGGCACATGGAATTGGGCCACAGATCAGCCATTATCTCATTGAAAGGTGGAACAGGCTCGCAGGGCTGAATGGCCTCCTCCTGTTCCTATGTTCCTACAGCTGCTCTTGGGAGCACTACAATTGCCTGGTCATTATGCAGTGACACCTGTTACAAATGCAGATGTTGAACCTTGATTTTATATAATGCTTTTCAAGGTGTCTGTAGGTCCCAAAGCATTTTGCAGCAATTTAAGTAACTTTGAAGCGTACTCATCTTGTGACATGTGGTATCCCATTTGCACACAGCAACCTCCACCAAACAGCAATTAAAGAAGTGGCTAGGTTAGCAGTTTTATTGTTGTTGACTAAAGGATAAATATCAGCACAGTGGCTCAGTGGTTAGCGCTGTTGTCTCACAGCGCCAGGGACCCCGGTTTGATTCCAGGCTTGGGTGTTGCCTGTGTGAAGTTTGCACATTTTCCCCATGTCTTGTGGATTTCTTCCCACAGCCCAAAGTTGTGCAGGTTAGGTGGATTGGCCATTTTAAATTGCCCTGTGGAGTCGAGGGGTGTGTAGGTTAGGTGGGTTAGCCATGGTAAATTACAGGGATATGATTTGGGGGGGTGGTGGGGGAATGCTCTTCAGAGGGTCAGTGCAGACCCGGTGGATCAAATTGTCTCTATCTGTACTTACAGGGATTCTATATGGGCAGGGAAGCAGGTTTACCTGCTACAATATGGTAACAGGGCACTTAGAAAAGCTCAATATGAATAGGCAGAGTCAAATTAGATTTATGAATGGGCAATCATGTTTGATAAATCTGTTAAGGGTTTTTTTTTTGAGAGTGTAACGAGTAAAATGAGTAAGGACGCAGAATGTAGTTCATTTTATTTTCAAAGAACATTCAACAAGATGCCACAGACGAGAGTGCTACTCAAAGTTAGGAGTGGTGGGATTGAAGATAATGTAATTGAATGGATTAAGGTTTAATTAATGGACAGAAAACAGCAAGAATAAATTGAACATCTTTGCGTTTGGCAAACTTTGACTAGCAGGGTACCTCAGTGACTTGAACCACATCTATTTATAATCCATTTTAACAGAAGAAACTGAACATTATGAATCCAAGTTTGCTACAGAGTTAGGTTGGGGAGTAAGTAATAAGGAGAGCATACGGATTATGCAGGGGCATGGAGTTGAGTTGGATACGTAAGCAAGTAAAAAAGGAAAAAAGAATATTTTGCAAGTTGAGAGACTGGGTAATGTTTGCATTCAAAGGAACCTTGGGAGTCTCTCCCTGGACGTGAATCACAAAAAGTTTAATAGCTGCTACAGCAGAAATTTGGAAGCAAGCAATATGCTAAATTTTATTCTAAAGGGATTGGAGTTTAACAGTAAAGAATTGGTGAGGTCACAGCTGTGGTCTCGTGTGTAATATTGGCCTTTTTACTTAAAGGATATAGTTCCCTAGAGTGCAGTCAAGACTTGTTCATGGAATTGAGAGTGGTCCTATCAGGAGAGATTAGACAGATTAGGCCTATATTTCCAAGAGTTTAGAAGAATGACAGACGATCTGATATAAACATATTAGTTTTTTAAAGGCGTTGACAGGATAGAAGCTAAGGAAATGTTTCCCCAGCTGGAGAATGTTGAACGTAGAGTTGCAGTCTGAGATTTTGGCTACTGAGTTGGATGGCTCATGTTGCTATGCATCAGGAACAAAAACAAAGTTGCTGGAAAAGCTCAGCAGGTCTGGCAGCATCTGTGAAGGAGAAAACAGAGTTAACATTTCGGGTCTGGTGACTCTTCCTCAGAACTTGTGCACCAGGTCTGCCTTGGTAAAGGAATTACAAATTATAAATTACAAGATTCTCACTCAGGTTGGAGGCGGGTGCAGGATACAGTCAGACTCACCAACCCCCTAAGATACTAGAAGGACAAAGGAGCAAGCAAATGCTGAGCTGGGCTGACTTAAAAAGCCTGCTTTGGTTGACTGGGGCTTCATCCCATTGTTTTAGAAGATTTTAGGCGCTCTACACCCCTCATAAACCCTCCCATTATACCTCATTGCATGGCCTCTCCTATATCCATGCCAACTCCAAGACAACTTGCCCAGTAACCACCATGGGCAGTCCTGGCAAGCCATACAGAAATGAAACAAAATAAAGTTTGAAAAATCTAAACAAGGTCTCACTCCATATAGTGGTAGTGAAAAATCTCACATTCATGAAGCCAGTGAATGCTTTTAAATCTCAAATGGTCAATCCTCTATTTAAAAAATACTTCTATTCATATCTGACATCAAAAACTGCTGATCCTTGAATAGGCTCTTTATGCAGTCAATCAAAGTGTGAATTCAGAACTTCCTGCTGAGAGTACAGTGGCATTTGAAATTCAGCCAAGTTTTCATAATGAGATAATATTAACTATTTGTTAAATGTCAAAATGCAAAGATATTATTTTAACAAGCACTATAGTTGCAGCCTGTTTTTCTTTTTAAACAGTTTAACTTTATATCATGGCATTTAAGCAGAATCTGCTATTCAAGAAGGTTTATATCTTCTCTATAAAATCATGACTCCCGCATTATGGGTTAAGGTCCTTGCAACAGCTAAAACGGCACCTGTTTATATATGGCACCAAATTCAAACCGTTTGGCTCGGTTCAGCTTTTCTTCTTTGAATTGTACTGCACTAACTTTCCCCTGTTGGTAAAAGTAGTATTGTTAGAAATTTGGACTTCCTTCTCCTGGGACCTTCTCATTATATTTTAAAGGTTCACTGAGTCTTCCAACTCCTCAAAAATCTGGCACACAGTTTCAGAATACAGGGTTTGCCATTTAGGACTGAGCTGTTGAGAAATGTCTTAACTCAAAGGAGTATTCATATTTGGAATTCTCTGCCCAGGAACCTGTGGATCCTTGCTCATTGAATATATTCAAGACCAAAGTTAACAGATTATTGGCAACTAAGAGATGGTATTAGAAGGTTGGAGTTGAGGTAGATGATCAGCCATGCTCTTGTTGTATAGAGAATCAGGCTCGAAAGGCCAAAGTGGTGTATTCCAGTTCCAATGTCTTATGTTTTCTGAATAGTGCTGTACTTTTGGGTAATGTTAATGGGAGGCCGCTTGTAGATAAGAATGAGGAAGGTACCAGGGAGAACAGTGCAAGATCATGAAGAGCAGCAATTTTTATTGATTCTCAGACAATAATTAGCTAGATAGGAATGAAACTAAATGAGAGCAATCCAGCACAGAGAAGAATAGGAGGAGGATAGAGTGGTTAACCATGTCAAAGACTGCAGACAAATTGAGGAGAATGAGCCAGAAAGTCTCCGTTTGTCACAGTCAAGTAGTAGATTGTGCAAATTTGATAGGAGCTATTTCAAGATTTTGGAACAAACAACTTCAAAAATGCAACATTCCCTCAATCGTGAGCTGAAATGTTGGCGTAGATTTATTGTACAGTTTCTGGCATAGGATTTAAACTCTCAAACTTAAGAAAAGGCCCTACTATTGAGACAAAAATGATGTGCATAGGCAGGTCTGCATCAGGCTCAGCTCGAATGCTCTTCACAGTTTGATAAGGTACCATTACTGGTCACCTAGGCTCTGCCATGGGAATTAACTATGCGGGTGAGGAGCCACACCCCAGAAGTGTGAAGAGTGTGGAAAAACAATGATAAAAGCTATATGAGAAATGTTCAGGTTTCTCTCTCCGTCCTCAAAACTAATGAAACAAAGATCCCCTGTTGCCCAGTTAAAAAGTTACAGGATTTAATCTCAAATTGTCTTTAAGGATGTGTTCTTTCTGCCATCCCCTCAGGGCATGTCGTAAAAGTATCCGAGACTTGGCTATCAGGGATAGTTCAAGACCCCTAGTATGATGTAATTCAGGAGGTGATTATCCAGCAGTCCTTGACTACAGGAGCTACAGGCTGAATGTGAACATTAGTATACTATTAACCTTTCATTATCGAGTTCTGGTGATGGGTGTGAAGTTATTGCTGAATACAGCCTTTGTGTGACATTTTAACTTAATGCAATTCAAGAAGAGTTATAACTAATTTAGTTTGCAAAGTGCTGCATGATTATGAAATGTTGCTGAGACAAATACATGCAAACAGAAATGCTGGTCAGTACTAACCAGAGTGAAGTTTGTTTGATCTAGGATTGCACCAGTTAAAGTAAAAAATGCAGCAAATTAATTAGTTTTTTAAAAAAAAATAAATTGATAGTATCATTTTGATTTGTGCATTTGTGTTAAATGGAAATCCAACAGATTTAATAAACCCTGTTTAATTTACTGTGGCCTTGTGCCAAGTAATACATATATGTCTTCACTTAACAGCATTGTGTAACCACACATGATTTCAAGCATTGTTTCAAATTTGTCTGCTTCATAGGCTCAGTTAGGAGCTAGTTTAAAGTTGTACTCATCCAGGAATTGTAATCAAAATACCCACATCTATGGATTTGTGGAGATTTTCCACTTTACATAAAATTGACAAGTTATGCTTTGATCTTCTCATATCTTTGGGGCTAGCTACGTTTCTATAATTTTGATTAAATTCCAGTCCGTGTTGGGGAGCCCTTTTCAAGGGACAGATGGAGGAAAATCACTACTCCTGCCCAGGGGAGAGTGAACAACATAGTTTGTTTTCAATTTTAAATAGCCTAATTATACCAGAGTTTAAATTTGTTTGCCTCCACCACTTGTCATAGCCAGTCACAGCCAGTTCTACTGTGAAACTAATGCTGGAAAACAAATCACGTGATTTCCCTGTTGTTGTATATTTTGTTTGAATGCACCTGCCTATATTAGGGCAGACATAGTCACCATTCCATTACTCTGGCTGAGAAGTGAAAGCACGTATTGGGCTAAAAGTGAAATGTTGCCTCATTTGCTGGAGTTAGATCAGGAAACTTGTCTAATTTCAAAAGAATGGGTCTTCCTGTTGGTTGAGAGCTCTGACTAATGCAGTGAATGGGTTAAAATTAGAAAAGCATCCAACTTCCATGTTCAAGCTGCAGTCTTGAGGCCAGAACTTTACTTATGGGTGGGATGTAACACCTTTGTCACAGGCAGTCAAGGACCTCACTAATGTTCAAAGATTGAGGAAAAATAAATGGCATAGTTTGGGCCTGAACCTGTTTTAACCCTGTGGTGCTTGGATTACAAATGGTACTGTGAAGAACTTCTGTCCATTTGTTTCAAAGTGTGAAGTCATCCCAATTACTGAACAATTCAATAATTTTTGAACGTTTCCTTCTGGACCAGGAGTCGTCATTATACTTGTCAAGGCAGAATTCTTTAGCCTCCCATCTCCAGCAATTTTTCCTAACCTGTGCATGACCTTCCCCGCTTCGGCACACCAGCCTGTGTGTTGATTCAGTTGGTTTCGAGTGGGGCATCTTTTCTGAGGAAGGAAAATAAAGTTCAAATGTTAAAAAGGCTCAAACATCTTACTATGTTGGCTGCCAAGTATTTAAATCATGCCACACCACCAACAACCCCCCCCCCCCACAAAAAAGACCACGTCACACTTGCACCCCCTGTTAAATGTATGTAATATTTATTCAGGCTGAGATTGAGATATGATTATATGTGAGCTCCTTCTAGTGACAGAAAAATATATTGCAGTACTAAACATTGCTACTTTTCCACAGGAATGAGATATGTAATATTCATGTTCTACATGTCATGGCGAGGGTTTTTAGGTGAAGCTCATTAAAGAAGGGAAGAATTTCTTTTCCCGTTTTTGGTATTTGACATTCCAGGGGCACATGATTGTCAAAACAGAATACTATAATTCCAGCCTGAGAAGACTATCCTCTACGTTATGCCATTTTAGGAACTTAGAAACAACCCATTCAGCCTGTTCCACCTCTCAGTGAGATCATAACTGATTTGTGGCCTAACTCGGTATACCTGCCTTTGGCTCAGATCCCTTATTACCTTTGCTTAACTCATTTAACATTAACAGATCCAACATCCACTGCCATTTGTGGACAAAGAGTTCAGTCATCTATCACCTATTGTGTGTAGAAGTGCTTTCTACATCTCTCCTGAATGGACTGGCCCTAATTCTCAGACTTTATCTTTATCTACCCTTTTTTATCCTGTTACTATCTTGAAGACTTTGATTAGATCACCCCATAACCTTCTAAATTATAAAGGTCTGATTTGTGTAATCTCTCCTCATAACTTAACACCTAAAGTCCATGCATCGTCCTTGTAAACCTACATTGCACAATATATCCTGCCTAGGGTCTGGTACCCAGCTCTGCTCACAATACTCCAAGTGGGATATAATAGGGTTTTTCATAACTGCATCCTCGTACTCCAGTCCTCTAGATTATAAAGGCCAACGTTTCATCAGCCACCTTGGCTCTTTCTTGCACCGGAACCCCAAGTCCCTTTGGACATCCACGAGCGTCTGATGGCTTATTCCTGTATTCCTAAAGTGGCATTATAGGGTGGGTGATCTTCTCAGATATCCACTGTATTTGACATCGTACCACCTAGAAATTACCCTGATTAATCCTTTCTGACCAAAGTGGATAACCTAAAACTTGCTTACGTTGAACTGCATCTGCTACAGTTCTTCCCATTCACAGCACAAAATTACAAAAGGATATTTATAGACCGTCATCTGCACTTTCTACAATGCCGCCTAACTTTTGTGTCATCAACAAATTTGGATATATGACTTTCTATGCTATTATCCAAATCGTGAATAAATAGTGTGAATAATTGAGGCCCTACTCGTTTCGTCTGTGGGGGCCTCTTGCTGCCAGCTTTCATCCTAATAGCTTGAGATTTTAGGTTTGAGCAGTTAAGTGCACTGGTTTATCTCTGGTATTCAAGGCCTTGTTGATGGTGGATTACTGTACCACATACTCCTGACAGGAACGCTAATTCTGCCATTTTTCTTTTTAACCAGGGGTCCACAGCTGCTGCTAAGGGTGATTTCCTGTTCACAAGTGATCGATTAATTGAGATCATCACAAAGCTTTATCGCACAATATTCTTCAAAACCAACCAGAAGATAAATGTTGAGATAAATAATGAGTAAGTTCTGATTTTTTTTGGCAAGGGGTGCTGGGAAACATGGATGTTGTAAATCTGTTTAGAACACTGGAATTGCACCCAAAGTAGCTGAGGATCTGCAGATGGAAGATGAAGCCATTCATTATGACTGGTGGTCAGAATGTATATTCAGTCCTGGGCACTGTGTCACAGGAAACAAGTTCTTGATCTGTTTAGTCAACAGCACTAATTCTCCCCATCCTAAAGCTGGATGGCCTGCAGTTCCATTTCATCTTTAGCTTCATCCAGCATTTTATCAACAAAACATTTATTCCTTCCTCAACAAATCATTGATCCAAACACCACCCCGCCCACACCTCAACTTTTCTCTGACCTTAAGCAATCAATCTTCAACAAAGACTTCAGCTCAATCCTTTTACACCCCACCAGAAAGAGTTTACACTTACTGTGTCACTGAGCTCTCTTGTCACCTTCATTTCCACAAGGGTCTTTCTCCATCAGACGCTCACTGTTGTCTTCAAAATTCTTAGTTTCCCCTGTACTCTTCCCTCTTACCCGCTCTAAAATATGTTCAATGTGAACTGCTTACAATAATCATTTCATTCTGTAGAGTCAGACTTGAAATGTTAACTCCTGTTACTCTTTCCACAAGTGCTGCCAGACCTGCTGGGTTTCTCCAGCATTCTGTGTTTGTTTCAGATTTCCTGCATCTGCAGTATTTTGCTTTTATATCTCTATTTCTCTGCTTCCCTCACTTATTCTGATTGTCTCTGAACTTGCAGCTCTCTTGTCTTTGGTCCAACATTAATATTAACTTTGAACCTGCTGACAATGGTAGCACTTTTTTTTAGTGAACTAACCTCAACGTAGTAAAGGCTAAAATCTAACTCTTTGACACCACCTCTGGCCTTCTCCAGGATGTTGTTCCCACCCACTGAACATCAATGTCATAATTTCCAGAGGTATCATTGACCTTTCTCCTGTGCAAAACTTCCCTCCAAATTCCAACCTCAAAGTGTTAGATTTTCTTCATAGAGGCGAGTGGTGGAAATCTGCAAAGTTTTTGGCTTTGCACACCCACCTCAGGAGCAGTATCTCAAATGGCTGAATTTTCAACCATGGAAGATTGGTATTTGTTGGAATCGGTGTCACCATGGACACAGATCGGAGGTGGCCCTAGGGGCTGCAAATTGCTGAGATGGACTTGGTAAAAGATCGGTCTCTGTTTTGTCAGACTTTGTCTAATTTGCTTTGTTAAATAGTAGGCCATCTACATTTCACATTCACTCTCTCCCCAGGCTCCTCATCAGATACCGGGAAGTTTGGGGACAGAGCAAGGCAATGTCAGAGAATCATAGAATCCCTGCAATACAGAAAGAGGCCATTCAGTCCAACGGGTCTGCACTGACTGTTTGAAAAACACAACACCCAGACCCATCCCCTCACCCTACCCCATAACTCTTGCATTTACTATGGCTAATCTACCTAGCTTGCACTTCCCTGGACACTACTGGGCAATCTAACATGGCCAAATCACCTAACCTGCACATCTTTGGACTGTGGGAGGAAACCCCACACAGATATGGGGAGAATGTGCAAACTCCATACAGACAGTCACCCAAGGCTGGGCTCAAACCTGGGTCCCTGGTGCTGTCAGGCAGCTGTGCTAACCACGGAACTTCTGTGCCGAAGAGCATCAGGCATGAGAAGAGACTGAGAATTAGAGGGTTGAAGAGTGTGAGAGAGCACACCAAAGTGACACCAATTGGGTCACACAAGCAACACTGCTAAAATGATTCCAGTGACACCCGATGAGATTACAGGCCTCATTGTCTTGTTTTAAAGTTAGTAAGTCAATATTAATGCAGTGAAATTGTACATTGAGTCCCCAATTAATGTTACACCATACATGTAGAAAGTTCATTAGTTATATTCAATACATTTAAATCATTGAAGGTCTTTTCATCCCTTCGAAAAACAAACATTTGTTTTGATAACTCCATAAGAAAGATAGGTAATCTCTTACTTACTACTTTAAGCTGCCTATTAAACTGTGAACTTATTTACAATCCCCAACCATGGTGCTGTCGAAATAGTCAAATAGCAATAATAATAAAATGATACCACTTAATGTCAACAAACAACTATTAAAACTGCAAGGACAATTTTATTTTTATTCTCACATACATTTATGGTATTTATTTTTTCAAAATTTAAAAGGGCAGTGATTTTAATAACCTGACAGTTCTATATTCTGTCTACATCTGCCATTTTAGAGCATTTATGTCACCATTAAAGTCATGGAGCATTCACACTGGAGTGAAAATCAGGTTCTGCTTCTTCTGTGCACTGTATTAAATGGCCCCCTCTGCTTCCTTTTTAATTTTGCTTCTTTACTTGTTACATTGCTATCATTTATTGCCACCAAAGCCCTTTTTGTTTCTGGATCACTTGCTGCTGCTCTCTGACGGGAATTAGTTTTGTTCTTTGACTCCAACCCTTTCCCTGGCTCTGTGCTTACTCAAAATCTGTTACATGTCAACTTTTTTTTACTTGTTCTGACAAGTGATCACAGACTTGAAACATTAACTCTTTCTCTGGCATGCTGAGTATGTCCAGTATTTTCTGTTTTTTATTTCAGGAAATATAGATAGCCAACAGCTTTTCCCCATGGTACTGGAGTCTAAAACTAGAGGGTGTAGATTTAAGGTGAGAGGGAAGAGATACAGAAGGATCCAGAGGAGCAATTTTTTCACACTGAGGGTGGTGAGTGTCTGGCACAGGTTGCCAGATGTAGTGGTGGAAGTGAGTACAGTTTCATCATTTAAGAAACATTTGGACAGGTACATGGATGGGAGAAGTATGGAAGGAAAGGACCAAACGCAGGCAAATGGGACTAGTTTAAAAGTGAAAACTGGGTGGCATGGACAGATTGGGCTGAAGGGCCTGTACCCGTGCTTTAAACTTCTATGACTCTATGAAAGCTATATTGGTCTTAGACAGCTTAGTGCAAATGATGCCAGGATTCAAATAGTTAAGTTATCAGAGTGTAGATGAAACTTCTATTTTCTAGAATATAGAAGACTGAGGGATAATCTAATTAAGGTATTTAAAGTGGCTAATGGATTTTGTTGTGTAGACAGTGAGGCTAATTCTTCTGACAAGGAAGTCCAGAATGGAGGGAGAAAATTAGAGCTGGCTGTTCAAGGTTGACATCAGGAAGCATATTTTTTTGAATGTTGAAAGTTGAAATTTGGAATTCTGTTCCCAAATTGTCTTCCTTAAAGATAGATTATTTGAAACGTTTGAAACTGAGTTTGGTATGTTTTTGCTAGACACTTTGTGTTGCAGAATTAAAGTGGGTAAATGGAGTTGAGATACATATGAGCTATTTTCAAAGTGAATGGTGGAGGCTGAATGCTTTTCCAAACTGAAGGACATTCCTGCTTAATTATGTGAGCTCTGCATGCTCAAAAAGTAAACAAGTGCCAATGGTCAATGATCTAAAGTGAAAAGAGCCCTCATGCTGCAGTGGTAGTATCCCTACCTACAAATCAAGTGGCCCAGGTTTAAGGTCCCACCTGCTGCAGAAGTGTGTAATAATGTCATTGAACAGATCAATCAGAAAGTACATCTAAATTTAAGCTACAGATTGTAACTGTTTGACTTTTCATCAAGTAACAATAGAGGTTCCCACTGCTACATCTGTCATTTTCTTCTTTGATTTTCAAAAAGTTTGTATGTTTTAAAAAACAATTGAAACCATTAGGTCGGAGTTGAGAGTTTGAGTCAGATTTTGAGTCTTTGTGCAATGCAAAGATCCAGCCTACTGCAGGCAGGGCGAGGGTTTGAAACTGAGATACCAGGTTTGCAGTTGTTTTTGTGTTCCAACAATGGTCTGAAGAACACAATAGTCACAGGATTATGAAGTTCTCAAGGATATTATGATACTTTAATGTTATCAATGGTATCTGCAAGTGGACAAATTTTGTTTGGTTGTGGGCAGCATGCTTAATGTCCATTGACATAGTTAATAATTCCTTCAATGTAGCTGGACTGTTGTGAGTTTCAAATTATTATATCTAAGATGACAGGAATGCAATTTTCTTTTTTAATAAGTGTGCAATAGGACATAGGTTGTGTTTGTGTGTACAAAGTATCTGATCCATTTGAAAAATAACTGCACGATGGATCCAACAAATGTGTTTTTCAATACAGGTCTGCCATGTTACATTTTTATTGGATGGTATTAAACATTTACCTATGTTTTGTTTTAGATTTCTGGTTCAATTCAATCAGGATAAAGTCTGTGTGAAGTTCATTCAGGGAGCACAGAAAAATGGCAATCTCCCTACATGCAAGAGGAAAAATAATCGCCTCCTGGAAGTCACAGTTCCTTAATTGCTGCAATTTTGTGACAATTACTTACTGCACATATGGTTATATATTCTTTCTGTTAAGTTTTCCTTTTCTCCTGAAGCTGTGACTGGTTGATAGCAATTGTGTAAATTAATGGTGCTTTCAATTTGTTTTCTAATACCAAAATTGGTTTTTAAAATGGTCGAGGGGGTAAAAGAAACACCAATGAGTTCCTTTTGCAAATGTCAGGGTGATAGTTTCCTGTCATTGAGTGTTCAAGATGGTCAATTATGGCATTGATTTAATCACTCAGCTAGTGGTTTAGCCTGGGCCAGTTGTACAGCACTATAGTTGGGCACATGGGATGGCTGGATGACCTCTCACTGCCAATAATCGCAAAGCAAATAGCCACTTGCATGAGGCATCACAAACCTGTGAAATGCCCCACACATGAGTCGCACCTTCAGGAGAAATGGGGTTGGGATGATTATTGGAGCAATCTCTGGGCGAGAAAGAATTATGGGATCTGAAATCGGATTTGTGAACTTGGACCTGAGCTGGATGCCTCAGTGTGTGAAACATTGTAGTCTCGGCTTTCTGCAAGGCAGAATCTAACACTAGATGGAGGAGCAAACAGATTTTAAAAACCAAATTGAGCAAAGTGTGATGCTGTGGGTGATTGTATTAATATGTTGTACCTTCGTATTTTAGAATCTGTCACTTGGTTATGGGGATCAACTTTTGAGGTTAAACAATTGCTGAACTATGTACAGGAATACTGCTAATTTAGAAAAGAAATTATGCATTGTATGTATTGTACAACCAAAACAAAAAATCAATTCTAAAGCAATTTGTAAAGGCTATTTATGTTGAATTTCTGGGAGAGGTCCTTGGTACACATAGCCTGTGTTGAAAGCTGTAATGCAGCTGCCAGGCCAATATAACTCTTGCTACGTCACTTACAGTTAATAGAATCTACGCTACACATTTCTAAAAACAGTAGCAGAATGAATTGCAGTTCAATGGTTTTTCACTAAGAAATGTTTGCGATAATGAGATGTAAATAGATTGAAGTTGGTATTGTGATCATAGATTGATGTTTCATAGTGATGTAATGTTGTAATCATGTTTTTATATTTAATACCTCTTTCAAGCTCCTTCTGCCTGGAGAATTTGCATATTAGACAGCAGTCAAAATCAGAGTTAACGTAACTGATTTCTTAATCTTTTATAAATCTGTTAAATTTATTTGTCTGTGGTGTTTTCTGTTGCATGAAAGAGAATGTGAGTATCACAAACCACTGAATTAGGTTCAGTTAGTGACCTGATCTCTCAGCTCCTGTGTACTTAGATGAAGGATAACTGATGCATTACCATTTGTTGAATTTACATTATGAATAATTCCATGTATGTAAAGCTAAAATGAATGATGGGGGTTTGATACGTGGTTACATATACAGAACGCATTATGAAAATATTCAATGCTGGTAATCCTATTTTAAAAATGGGCTTCCCTGTCACTCACCCCTGAAAAAGGAGCTGATAACAACTTGTGTATGTTTGCATTTCTGTGTGATTGTCTTTTTTTTTGCACACCTTTACCCATTCATTCCTATTGTTTGTTACTAATGTCATTGAAAGACAATTCAGAATATTGTTAATGTTAAATTCTTGACATTTTTCAATCTCTATATCAACTCAGCTACAAAGGTTTTCTTTTCTTGCAATAATAGTCATGTCATTTCAAAGAAAATCCAACAGATTTAGGTACCTCCAACTTTTTCTTTACTGCAGGTTCAGTAGAGCCATATTTAGAGCTTCAAATGCAGTGTTAACTGAGTTCTTACTAATGTCAATTCCACATACGTGACATAAAAACTCACTGCAGCTATATTAGAGAGCCATAAAATGTACACTATTTTAGTATAAAGTACTATAATTTAACAGGTTTAGAACTGATATACACTCATTCCAAATAATTTTTGAGTCATTGCTAATGTATCGCTGTCCATGGATGAGATTTACTAGCATGGAATGTGCATGTCCTGCAAAACCAAAAGCAACTCCAACATAAGTTTCCATTGTGTCTTCCAAAGTTCAGCTATTAATTGCTATAAATTCCTCTCTGTTAACCACAGCAAAAATATTTGGGTCAATCCTGCGGGACTTAGTGTAGAAATATTGTGCCATCCCTTACATGGAGTGACTATGAAGCACTATCTAAAATGCTCTTGTGAAAACAGATTTTTATCCCGGAGTCAGGAAAACTTGCTCTGCTCTTCAGTGTCATGTGTCATGCTCATGAGGAAGTTACAACCCATGGGAATGTTTGGCCAAATCTTGGGTTTTATCAGATGTGTATTCTAGCTCTAACATCCCCGTAAGGGTGCATCAGAGATAGTTTTAGTGAGTCTTACAATTCACAAGTAAATTGAGATGTCTACTGTCACCCATTTTTTAAAAATGTCTACAGATTGTTTAGTGAGAATTGGTCATAAATGGTGAACGGAAAGATGTGACATTTTTGAAAGCTGCTTTTCAAAATATTAACCAAGAAATTAGTTTGCAGAGCTCCTGATTTGGTGCACTGTATGGTCTCCAAGCCTTCCAATGCGCTAGGCAGAAAGCACATACCCACTGCTAGCTGGATGCAAAGCATTTTGGTAAAGTCCAAAAAAAACTTGTTGTAGTTTGAGGTTGCAACGTATGAAATATGTATTTTAAGCTTTATTTACAGTTAAGCACTCCTGGAAATGCAACAGGAGAATGCTGTTAAGCCTAAGGTCCTGGACCAAGTTCTGACTGGATTTATGGCAAGAGATAGAGAAGTTGCAAGAGGGGCACCGGTATATCTAATGACAATCTACCATTGAGGATTACAAAGGACATAGTCAACCTCATCGTGAGTATTCCTTTCCAGCAGAGTCCTTTGCATGGGAACTTGAATTAATTAGCTGCCAATGAGTAAGTTTGATAAATAGCACTGAATTTTGACTTGCAGAACATCAGGGTGGCTAGCATAATACAAACAGCCGAAGTAGGTTTTTCACTATGTTGAAGTGAGATTTCTTGTGTAGAGCAAGTGAGCTAGCAGCAGAGGATAAAAAACAAGAAAGTTCGCTAATGTGCTTCGGAGATGTGAACTGGCCACCAATCTTCGGTCTAGTCAATATTCGATTCTAGTTTATGCTATATGTTTGACTTTTTGAAATATTTTAGAAGGCATTGAACATTATTCAGTTGTAAAAACAATGGCTGGGATAAGGCAGTCCAAGATTACCTTGTACCTAGAAACGTATCTGATAATTGCTGCATCCCGGAACAAACAAACAAAAACGTTGAGAATACTAAATTTTGAGATCGGTTGCAGGAAGATTTAATTGAAAGACTGACGAATTGTGGTCAGGAAGATAGTGGTAAAGCACAAGCAGATTTTTTACCAATGCATTTTTCTGTTTATTATGCTTTCCTGAAGAATGTCTGTGACTTGCTATCAATCACGTGAGAGTGACACGTGAGCTATTTGACATCTGTGGTACCGAGGCAAGAGTGATTACAACATAATATTTCACATTAAATTTGAGGGTGAGAAATTTAGGTTTGAAATTCTTGTGTCTTAAATATCTTAAGCTTCAACAGTATCAATTACAAGAATATGCAAACAGAGTTAGCTAAAATTGCCCTGGAAAATAAGTTTAAAAAGTAAGCTAGAGAAACAGTGCAGACATGTAAAAAAAAATTTTTACCTCTCAACAAAAGTACGTTCCATTGAGGAAGACAGATTTCTTGGAGAATAATGGATAATTTGTGGCCAGCTAAAGTATTTAAGGATGCTATCTATTTTTAAAAAGGTGTCCAATGTTGCAAAAATTGCGATATGGCCAGAAGACTGCAAAAATTTTAGAAATCAGCAAAGGATAACTAAGTACAAATAGAGAGAAACTGGTGTATGAGAGTAAACCAGCAGGTAGTATGAAAACAAATGGTTTAAGCTTCTACAAATATGTAACAGGAAAGATAGTAGCAACTATAAACTTTGATCCTGTAGAAAGTAAAACTGATGAATTAATAATGGAAAATAATAAAATGGTAGAGACTTTGAACTAGTATGTTGTGTCTGCCTTCACAGGAAAAGATACAAAAAAATCTCAAGCATAGTAGAAAAGCCTGGGGAAAAAAATGGGAGGGAGGAACTTAAAACGTTGTTGATCACAAGATTCTTGCAATACGATAATATGCAACATAAAAGGTTAGTGCACAAGTTTAAGACTATATTACTATGGATAGAGGATTAGTTAATGGATAGGAAGCAAAGTTTGGCGAAGTTTATGGTTTTCAGGTTGGCAAACTGTAACATGTGGAGTACTGTAGCGATCAATGCTGGAGCCTCAACTATTTATAAATGTTAATTGGATGAAGGGACCAAGTGTAATGTACTCAAATTTGCTGATGATATAAAGATATGTTGAAAAATAAGCTGTGAATACATAAGGAGTTTGCATAGGGATACAGACAGGTTAAGTGAACGGTCAAAAAATTGGCAGAGGGAGAATATGGGAAAATGTAAGTTTGACCACATTGGCATGAAAAATTTTAAAAAAATTAAAGTGGAGAGAGATGAAAGTGCCCTGTTGAAGTTTTTGAGTGTTTTTGTTTGTACATGAATCATAAATGTCATCATGCAGGTACAGGGAGAAATTAAGACAGCAAGTGGAATGTAGGCCTTTATTCCAAGGAGGATAGAGTATAAAAGTAAGCATGCCTTGCTACAGGAGTACAGGTTGATCATAGGACCACATTTAGAATATGCTGTACATTTTGTTCTTCCTAGAAAAGGTAAAACTTTTTGCATTAGAAGCATTTCCAAGAATGTTCACAAGGTTGATTCCTGGAATGAGGGATTGCCTTATGAGGAAAGCTTAATCATGCTAAGCATATACTCCATTGAAGTTTAGAATGAAAAGTGATCTTATTGAAATGTATAAGATTCTAACAGGATACTGGCAAATGAAATTCAATTCAGATAAATGTGAGGTGGTGCATCTGGACAGAACAAACAGAGCAGGGCCCGGGGAAGCACCAAGGATCAGAGGGACATTGGTGTGCATGTCCACTGGTCCCTCGAGGTAGTGGCACAGGTGGATATAATGGTGAAGAAGGCATGTGATAAACTCTATGCCTCAGCTGATCAAGTACAAGAGCGGGAACGTTATGCTGGAATTATATGAAAGGTTGGCTAGGCTACAATTATTGTATTGTGTGCAGACCTGGAATCCACATTATAGGAAGGATGTGATTGCATTGGAGAGGGTGCAGAGAACCTTTATCGGGATGTTGCCTGCTCTGGATCATTTTAGTTATGGAGAGATTGGATAGATCGGGGTTCTGTTCCCTGAGCCTTAAGACTGAGGGTGAACGTGATTGAGATGTATAAAATTTGGAGGGACCTAGACAAGGTAGACAGGAAAAAATTCCTGTCCTTTGGTGGAGGGATCAGTGACCGGGGAATAGATTTAAGGTAAGGGCAGATATTAAATGACAGGAAGAGTTCACTGAGGGTGGTGAGAGTTTGGAATTCACTGCCTATAAAAGGTGGTAGAAGTAGAAACTCACATCATATTTAATAAGCATTTCGATATACACTTGTATTGCCAACACATACAAGGCTTTGACCAAGTGCTGGAAAATGGGATTAGAATAGTTAGGTGGCTGTTTTTGATTAGTGCAGACCCGAGAGGCCAAAGGGCCTTTGCCTGTGGTGTAGGCTCTATGACTCCAGGATAAACGTTGAGAATTTCAAATACAGCCATTCCAATTTTCCACACATGGATAATCAGTATGCTAACAGAGACTGCAGCACTGACTTCCAACTCTGGGAGTCACTGCTGCATATGGACCTCAGATTTGCACAGAAGAAAAACAAAACTGGAGGGATTACTACTCTCAAATTGTCATTAGCCTCCACTTCATTCTGGGATTGAGAATTTCCAGGACTTTGTTATTGAATCTATTAAAGGCTGATTTGAATAATTTTTGATCTACAAGGGAGTTAATAACTGGCGAAATAGAAGAGTGGAGTTAAAACACAACTAGATCAGTCATCTTACAGAATGTTGGAGGAGGATGAAAAGTCAACCACCGCTATGATATCTACTGTTTGGTGAGCAACCAATAATAACACACTGCACCAGGATATTAGGAGGGGCATGAGAGTTAGGTAAGGTAATTTGTCCTCTGTCTCAGATTAA